GTGAGGACCCTTCCCAGCCCCTTCCCGCCCCCGTGCCCCGTTTGGGGCCCGTAACGACCCTTTCCTGCCCCCGTGCCCATTTTGGGACCCGTGAGGACCCTTTCCTGCCCCCGTGCCCATTTTGGGACCCGTGAGGACCCTTTCCTGCCCCCATGCCCGTTTCGGGGCCCGTGAGGACCCTTCCCCAGCCCTACGTGCCCCCGTGCCCATTTCGGGGCCCATAAGGACCCTTTCCCGCCCCCGTGCCCATTTCAGGGCCCGTGAGGACTCTTTCCAGCCCCTTCCTACCCCCGTGCCCCTTTCGGGGCAGGTGAGGACCCTTTCCTGCCCCCGTGCCCATTCCAGGGCCCGTGAGGACCCTTCCCCAGCCCCTTCCTACCCCTATGCCCCTTTCGGGGCCCATAACGACCCTTTCCTGCCCCCATGCCCGTTTCGGGGCCCGTGAGGACCCTTCCCCAGCCCTACCTGCCCCGGTGCCCATCTCAGGGCAGGTGAGGACCCTTCCCAGCCCCTTTCCTGCCCCCCATGCCCATTTTGGGACCTGTGAGGACCCTTTCCTGCCCCCATGCCCATTTCGGGGCAGGTGAGGACCCTTCCCAGCCCCTTCCCACCCCCGTGCCCATTTTGGGACCTGTAAGGACCCTTCCCATCCCCTTCCCACCCCCGTGCCCGTTTCGGGGCCCATCAGGACCCTTCCCATCCCCTTCCCGCCCCTGTGCCCGTTCCGGGGCAGGCGAATCCCTGCCTTTGCGGCTCCTTTGGGGAATTCCTTGCCGCGACTCCTTGGACCTTGCCGGGGATTTGGCCCCGAGCTCCGCAAGCCTCCGAAGGCGCCCGCAAAATAATTCCTGCCGTCGGTGCTAACGGCACCTTCGGGGAGGGAAACCCGCTGGGAATCGCTGCTCTTATCCAGTTAGTTATTGCCGAGCGGAGGCTGCTGCTGCCGATTTCGGGAATTACAGATGGGAAGGGGAATTTAAGGCCGAGCTGCAGCTCCAGGAAGGGGCCCGTGGCCGCGCCGGCCTCGACGTGCCCGCGAGCCGTCCGTGCCCGGGCGCCGCCGTGCCCCACAGCCCCTCTCTGTGCCCCGCGCAGCCCAAGGCCGCCGGGATGAGCTCCGTGCCGGCGCTGAGCCTGGCCAAGGCGCCGCTGCAGATCCAGGTGGTGGGCAAGGGCCTCTCGCAGCTCCTGCCCGCCGCGCCCGTGCAGGCGCCGCAGCTGGTGAGTCGGGGCCCAAAGCGGCGCTTTTCCTGGGAAAAACGCGCCCCGTTTCCCCGCGGCTGTTGCCTCCCGCGGGCAAACGCCGGCAGCACCCGCGGCATCCCATTCCCACCCCATTCCCCCGTCCCTGGGGACCCCGCCGGCTCCGGATCCGCCCGGCTCCCCGCGCCCTTCCCACTCCCGGCGGGGGCGCCCCCGGGGTGCTGGAAACGGGGCGCTCACGCATCCCGCTCTCCCCCCAGTACGACGGCAAGCTCGGAAGCCTGAAGAAAGCTCCGGCGCTGCAGCCCAGCAAAGAGGCCTGGTAAGGGGCGCGCGGCGGGCGGCGGGACCGCGGCGCCCGGCGCCCGCTCCAGCGCCCTGCGTCCCCCCTGCAGCTTCCTGGAGCAGCTGCACAAGCAGCAGGGCGCCGTGCTGCACCCCGACTACAAGACGCCCTTCGGCTCCTTCGAGGACGCGCTGCAGCGCTTGCTGCCCTACCACGTGTACCAGGGCGCGCTGCCCTCGGCGCACGACTACCGCAAGGGTGAGCGACGGCGGGGCGGCGGCGCGCCCGCAACGCGCCCGGACCGCCCCCAAAACGCGCGCCCTCCGCCCCGTCTCGCCCCCGCCGCAGTGGACGAGGAGTTCGAGGTGGTGTCGGCGCAGCTGCTGAGGCGCACGCAGGCCATGCTCAACAAGTACCGGCTGCTGCTGCTGGAGGAGTCGCGCGTAAGGGGCCGCCGCGCGCGGGGCCGCGGGCGTCCCGCCGCGCCGCCCGCGCCCTCACGCGCCCCTTGCCGCCCCGCAGCGCGTCAGCCCCTCCGCCGAGATGGTCATGATCGACCGCATGTTCATCCAGGAGGAGAAGACCATGCTGGCGCTCGACAAGCAGCTGGCCAAGGAGAAACCAGGTGCGGGCCGGGCTCGCGGCGCGCTCCGCGGCTCTTTGGGGGTGAAGCTCGTGCGCCGTGGGCGCGTTGGGGTGACGTGAAGGCGCCGGGAAGGGTCCGTGCGGTGGGGGAGGCTGCACGGCGGCAATCCGGAGCCGAGCGGGGAGCGGGGCTCTGTGGGAGCGGGCGCCGCGTGGCAGCGCCGTGCAGACGGCCGTGCGTTTGCCTTGCAGACGAGTACGTGTCGGCGGCGCGGGCGGCGCGCGCGGC